GGGTGGGTGAGGCTATACAGCTGGTCTTAAGGCTACAAAATTGTAATGTCAAACATGTACCCACTTTCTGAGCTGAGCTTATTCTAAGCATAGGTCAAACAGTTTATAGCAATGGCTCAACCCTGCATAAAGGTACACACGGTAAACATGCATGCATAGAGCAGGGATGCCAGACCATTCATGCATTTCCCTTTGGTCTGATCAAATTTGAGTTAACTTCAGCATTGCTTTTCAGTCTCACCCTATCTGTTAAAAGGAGTCCTGGTAACAACAGTCTGTATACATAGGTCAGAGTAAAGTTTATCATGCCTTTTTTTTTTTGGTTTTTTTTTTTTTTTTTGAGTGGATAACTAGATCTGAAAGCAGAAATCTCCCATGTGCCATAGGCCATAGAGTTTAAGTCAGTCAGTCATGCCTGGGGTGGGGGGGAAACTATCTGCCCAAATTAATTAGGATATTGGTTACAAATATTGAATAAACTTCTCCATAATCATCTTTGAACAAAGCTCTGTCTTGAGAGGCTCACTGGATCATTGAGTAGGGGTTGTATCTCAGAAGTCGACAGCAGTGTGGGAAGAATATGAGTAAAAACTGCATTAGGACACTTATTTCAGTCCTGCAACAGCTTTGTAGCATTTTAGTGGCCTTATGAGCCAACGTTTCTAATTTACACAAATTGCCATGTCTTTGAGGCCTGTTTAAAACAGCTGCAAATGCTGGAGTAGAGGGCGAACGCTGGAAAAGGGTGTTTCTTTCTGCCTCATTCATGCATTTCAAAACTGTAATTTGAAAATTGGAGCACCTGATGTTGATTACTACAAATAGGGAAATCTTTTTAAGCTAAGATTTTTAGCTTAAATGTATTAAGAGCATATACTTATTAATTTAAAAATCAACATCTTTACAATCGTTATATAGTGCTTGCAGTGTTTTGAGGGCATTCCCCAACTTCACAGTTAATTTGATAAGCCAATTTGATTGCAGAAAGAATATAGCTGTTAATTAGGCTCATACAGATTTACTTCCTGGTGAATGGTTAACATATTCTAAAAAAGTGAATTCACAATTCTTTCTCGAGTTGCAGCTTTTTAAAATGAAGATAGGCTATGTAAAACTGTCATGGAAAGACACTACATTTGGAAATTACTGTTAGTATATCCTTGTTTGTTTATTTTTTCATCACTAAATATTCTGTTCTGGTCATTTGCTTGCTTTCTGCAGGCTTGTTCCTCCTGTTTTTCCTATTCACTGCAAATCAAAGGCTTCCACCGAATTTTTTTTCAAAATGGAACCATCAGAAATTTCCAATTGCTGCTTTTTAGCTATTCTAGAAAGAGAGGTAAGCTGAGAAAATTACCACTTTAAAACACTTCAAATAAAAGATATTGCCATTTTTCCACTAATGAATATATGAAATTGAACTTTTCTTTTTGTCTTTAACTGACTCCTCTTCAGTTATCTTAAACTGACTAAATAGTTGAGCAAAGCAGCAATTTTTCCAGAGGTAACTGCAATGGAAATATACAACTTCTGGAGTGTTATGCCGAGCACAGGTTTCCAACATGAGCCTTTTATTTTGTATCAGTTTGCAGTCAGAGCAATCTCTTGATCTAGAGCTGTCCTAGGAATGTTTTAGAGGAAGTGTATTGTTGCTGATTAAGAATCATGATAAATGGTGTCTGTTGAAGTTACTGAGTCTGCGTCACCGAGATTTGCTAGTATTTAAGCATGCAGTGTCACCACTAGGGATTAAGACCATTATAATTTGAATAAATTAGGTAAGCGTATGTTTCTTTCCAAAACTAAGGCATATGTAAATCTCACTTGAATGGTGGTGGACTTCTGCTGAGTAAATGGAAGTCTTGGTATGATTCCTGAGGAGAGGTTTTAAAGGAAGAGTTTACATCTCTGAGCATCAGTGTTTTCCTCTTGTGCCTGAAACAAGTAGGACTTTTTTCCACCAAAAGAGAGAGGAGGGATCCAGTTAGAATTTCATTGAAAATTAAAGATATGAGATCTTATTCGTACCACTTTCTGTCGCACTGAACTTACAGTGCTTGAAAGAAGTTTGCATCTTCAGGGGGAATTAAAAGAGAAAGCTTTTATTAAGGTAAAAAACTGAGACATGAAAAGCCTTTTAAAATGATCTATTATTGATCTCCTCTCAACGCAGAGTATTTCTTAACCTAGCTTCCTGAGTTAGCAAGCTTCAGTTAATTGTGCTGTGTAACTCTGTCTACCGTATTCTCTCTCTCCAGAAAAAGAAACAATTTTGTTTCAGGTAGTTCATGAGAGTAACTTTTTAGTCAAATTCTACTGCACAGAACTAATTGCTCAATGGCCAAATTTTAGATAACTCTGGAAATGCACATTTTTCATGAGTCATAGCTTTTGTACTAAGAAGTATAGGTTAAAGTCAAATTTCTGGTTTTCAGATACCTATCCCTCTCCTTGGGTGACTGTAAAGAATTTCTTCCCCATTGTTTCTTTTTACATATCAGGATATTGACCTAGTTCCCAGTTGACTTAGTCTGAGAGTTCCTTGCTCATGTATTATGAGCAAGGGATTTTCATTATTATGGAAGTTACTCACATTTAATGTTACTCAGATTTCTATATTTTAGCAACTATTTCTGTTTTACACACACACACACACACACATATATATATATATATATATATATGCTATTATAGATGATACATATATTCTGTGTGTGTGTGTGTGTGTGTGTGCTATTACAGATACTAGATATGTTACCAGAGCAAGTCAGTTTGGGAGACACAAACAGTGCGAAGTCTAGAATTCTATTTCCCGTCTTCTAGCCAGCAGAGGGCAAAGTCTCTAAAAAGTAAATGCTCAGATACTACTTTACATAGCAGTAATGGTCTTGATTTCTTGAATAAGTAGGGTTTTTTTTAGCATTTATCACATGTGGCTTATGTGCTTCCATTAGCTTCTGCACTACTTTCATTGTGGAGTAAATTCTGAGGAAACTGTGATTAACTCATTGAGTTCACAGCTCAGGGTTGTGGCTTAGATCTATTTTTGTTTCCTTTGGAATTTTCAGAAAGATTCCTCTGAAAATTTGTCTGTTCAAGACATTTTGGCTCGTGCTGCAGCAAAAGGACTACTAGATGGAATTGTTGTAGAAAAATCAAAGAAAGAAGAGAAAAAGAAAAAGAAACTGAAAATGACACAACATGCAAGTCATATTATAGATAATAGCATAGAAACAAAGCTTGAAGAGTTCCTTCACCATGAAGCTGTATCTAATATTCATGCTGAAGGTTCAGCATCTAAAGCAGTAAGTAACATAAAACAAAAGACTGTGAACAAAACAAACTGTTATATTCAGCTGAAGAAAGCTACCAACCCAGTCTCAGACTCAGCCCTTCCTAAAGTGCTGAAGCGCACGTCTAATTTGTCATCTGCCAGCAAGGTGTATGAAAGACAGCCACTTACTAGAAAGGCGCGTGCAGAAGACAGAATGGTTGTACTGAAGCCGGTGGAAATTGTTTTGCCTCCAGTGATAGTACCGTACTTAAGTCCCCAAGGAAACAGATCCAGGATGCCAACCCATCATTGCTGGCATGACTGGATTGGAGCAAAGAGTTGGAGTGATGGCATATTTCCACCATCTCTATCTAAAGCAGTCAAACCAACTGCGGTTAAGCAACCTCGACCATGGTTGTAAGAATCTTCAAACTTTGCCCTTACCTTTACAGAAAAGGTAAATAGTCCTATAGAGATATTCACTTGTACACTTAGATTACAGTATATCTTTATGCAGGATAATCTCGCCTGTGGGAAACATATATTGTGGGATATTTTCCACAACATCCATGTTAGTTTTTTTTAAACCCATAATTACATTTTAAAGTGAATGCAGCTCAGCTACATAAGGTTGGTAGACCATTGGGGGAGTAAAGTCAAAAAACTACATAGCTACTTGTTATACACTTTAAAATGACAAGTTAATACACTTTTTTCCATAACCTGCATAGCTTTGTAGGAATACTCAGTTTCAAATTGATTCTTTTTTTTTGAAGTGAGACTTCATTTTATTGAAATGGCTGTTCCTGAAGTTCACAGTATGCCAGATCATCTTTGTTTCTAAAACTGGATGTGAATTTTCATATGGGCAACTGGCCAAGTACACTGAAGCCCATGCATAGGCTTTCTAATATTTACTCCCTTTGTTTCTACTCTAATGTGCTTCAGAAAATATGAATGCTAAAAACTAGATAAATACTGAATTGTCACAACAGTGTCACGTCTGAGTATGTCATGGCTCATAATTGCTTTTCACCAACATTCTTAACCCAAGCAGTTCTTAGCTGAAGAGCTCTACTGTCAAGCAAAATAAAGTTTTTTTTTTTTTAATAATGCTATCACTAGTCGTCTGAATAGAGGCTGGACGCAGCCACCCATGGTTTCTTTCTTTGGAAACAGCTGTGGGCTTTTAACCTGTTCCCTGTTGCTAGCAAAGATAAAATAGCTTGGATAGCTACATTTGTCTTATAATCTGAGCAGAGGATGAAAGGGACACAAAGATACTTTTAGCAAGGATCTGATGAAATGTGGACAACATAAAGAAAATGTCAAAAATGACTGAATGACTCTACAAGGTATCTTAAGGATTGTTTTAGGTTATATGGTTGCAGAAAGGAAACAAAGACAACATAGCAGGAAAAGAAAGGCAAAGGTAGCTGCGGCCCAAAGTTATCTTCTGAAGAATCATTTAAGATAGTTGGTAAGAGTACACTCAGCCTCTAGGCAAGTATGCCTAGTATCAGCAAGATAGTAAGGAATCTTAATCTATTTGATACATAGCTGAGACTGGATTTAGCCCCGTCCAGAGAAAATGTTAAAACATCGTTTTTTCCCCTCACCCACTCCAGTCAATGCAGCTTCATCAGCACTACCCTTTAGAAGAAAAGATGTGAATGATAGTACACCATCAGTGTAGACAACAGCCTCTAGTTCAGGTAAATATCAGTGCTTCACCGAATCAGTGAACATTTCTTTTATTATTTTAATCTGAGCCAGCTGACCTGCCCAACGGTATCACTCACCTGCTGTATATCCCTGTGAGTAACCTTAACTGTGTGCTCCTTAGCTGTTCCAAGAAAAGGATGAACTTCTCTGCACCTGGTCCTGAACAAACTATAAGGATATAGTCTAGACCTGTGTGCTTGCAATGTATAGAACTGGAAAAAAAAGCATTTTATTTCAAAACCATCTTGGAGGAGGAGAGCATCCACATGTTAGAAAAGGAGAATTAAGGAGATGATGAGTTGTTTTTTCAAAAAGTTTTTTAAATGCTTAAAAGAAATGTAGAGGTTCTGAAGTTAGAGAGTGAACTCCTAAAAACATTTATCAAAACTGGAATCATTCATTTATTAAAAGTAATTAAAATGACTTCTAAATGAACATACATTTGTCTGCTGACAAAGTGCTGGGCTACTTACATAGTACACATCGTGATGTCCCACAGTTGGCCTCATCTTGTTTTCAGGAGTTTCAGTCTTTGAAATATTATGGAGGCTAAACCATTTACAATCTTGACATCTAACTAAGAATGTGAAAGAGCTGGTGGTAAAATTTTTGATCCTGTAGGTCACCAGCTTACTTCGTAAGCAATGAATATCATATAGTGGCAACATCTGAGACTGGCTTGAGATGGTTGTAGGTAGAAGCCTGTGTGCTCAATAACGTTTTTTTTACTATGACTTTATACAATAAAAACTCTAGCTCATATAAATAATTTTCTGTAATCCAGTTATGTATTTGTCATTTTTTTAAACTGACAATTGTTAATTCAGCTTTCCAGATAAGAAAGTATCCGTTATACTGGTATCGCTTCTAAACAGTCAGTGTGTTTTTCCCTCCCCTCAAGCATATTTTTTTAAATGACAAAAGAAATAATTTCCCAGTGTCATGGACCAGTAACAGTTGAGACAATCATGTTATGCAGCTAAATTTATTCTCAGAACAGATTACATTTAAGTGTGTAGAAGTGGTCAACAGCAGGGAAAATTGTCCTTTTCAGTGTCAGTCAGGTGCTCTACATAACACTGAGCTCTGCTGCTAAACAATGGGTGTGTTTCCTTCTTTCTTATTGTTGTTAAAATAAATCAAACCTACTATTGCTGACTGTGCAGCACAGGTTTTAGCAATGTATTATGTAATTAACCTGCCCAAGAAAGGAGTAATGGTGTTAATAGTAATGCTGTAAAGGCTGAACCCCTATTAGCTGTGGAAATAAGAATAGTTCTGTTTTTCACAATATGATTTACTAACAATTTTAGATCCTCAATTAAATGATCTGTGAAATGCTTGATAAAAGAGAAGGGATGTAGAACTCTTTAGTAAATGACACAGAACTGGCATAAACCATTAGTTATTCCACAGCTTTTCTTCCTCTGTCACAAACGGGCATGCTATTTGGATAGGTACAGGTAGCTCTGCACACAAAGTTTATCACTAAGAACTCATTTTATTGTAAGTGGAATCAATGCCCTTTCATGCAATTCTTGTTATTCCTAGTTAACGAACCTGTAGGTGGCCTATATAAGCTTATGCTTTCCACACCCCCTTTCTCCCCTTTAAATGAAAGAGTAAGTGGCTTAAATAAAACCTACAGCCAGCACTGCAGATTTCAAAAGAAAGGCTTTTATCTTTAGTCATTGACTGTGACTATAAATCTCCTTGCTTCTGCAAGGAAGTATATTAATGAAATGACTGACATGTGATACTTATATCTAGCTTACTACTTGCATTGAAAAAATTAAGAAATTAGCTTTACATGATTTTTCTACAGACTTCATTAAAAACGTGACTACAGATAATTACAAAGCCCACTTTTTTTTTTTTTTTTTTTTTTTTTTTTTTTAAGACAACCTATAGTACAGAGTGGAGACTGTTGCAAGATCATGTTCAGAAAAGACAATACATCAACATAATAATGCAGGATATTTCAGTAAAAATAGAATAAATAAAAATATTTTAAGCTGTATTTAACAGGTGAATTTAAAATATGACATCAGACATACAAGGCATAGTGAACATGGCTGCCTGCCTACAGAATCACTACATATAAAAAAATGCATAGATAACTGAAGGGTCGCTATAACATCAACTAAAACACTGGCAGTTGCTCAAACACACATACTCCATACATTCTTTTTGGCCATGGTAAAAGAGTGCCTTAACATATTGTTTAACAAAGCATTATCTGGCTTTGCAGTCTTAGGCTCTGATTCTGCAAACAGCTGACTGTATATTTAATCTTTTGGAGAATAAGGAGCTCTACCGAAGCACAAGGGCCACTCATGTTCTGATCATTACGCACTACTTAAATATCTGCAAAATCCACAACATTTTGGTCGCAGACACAAGACTTAAAATGTACATTGGCAAGTGACCTACGGCTTTTCACATACCTTTCTCTCTTCTCAGTCCTTCCTTCAATTGCACACTTTGCTAGTGAAAGCTAACTAGACATTCATAGTCTGGATGACACGCTGAAAAACCTTTTTTACTGCTCTTTGCAAAGTGTTAGTGTAGTTTAAATACAGTCGGGGTTTCTATCTGGGAGAATCAGCACTGTATGGATGCAACTACAGAACTGAATTACCTTGTATAAAATTAATTGTTGTAGAATAGCTGCAAATCCAAATCCTGGAGTTTCCAAATTTAATTTAAAAAAGACAGTGTCAAAGAATTTGCTGTAATTTAAAGTCAAAGTTTGATTCAATAGTATAATGATAGGAACTTTTTATCTCTTAACTTAATGATCCTCCTTGAAGACATATTCGGTTACCGTCCGATGATTTTCAGAAGCCCGTCATGATAGGAAACAATTTTAACACTGCTCCTAGCAGACTTCACTGGGATCAGTGAGAAGCTAGAGAAACAGAGGAATAAGCAGGTATGCAAGCTACCATATCCGTGCTTTGGGATCTGGCTTCATGGTCAGTTTAAACTTGTGCTGCTGCTGCTTTGCCTCTCCTCACGTCCAGCTGCGTGCTCTCTCTGCCTCCATGGCATCAACAAAGTCAAGCACAGCCAAGCAGCGAACTGGATCAAATTCACAGACCTGACCCCTTTCTCTCTTTGAGATTATTCACATTAAGCTGATCTGATTTTCTCCTCCAAGTGTACAAGCGATAGAGCTCTGGTGCAAAGGAGGAAGCAGGAATCTGAGACTTGGGAGGGAAAAGATTGTTTCACTGCATTAGGTACAAAATCTCTGTCCTAGAAGAGATTTTGAGATCAGTGGAGGATCAGCTCTTCAGACGGTATTACGGAGAGTTAATTTTAATTACACTAATTGCATAGCTAGCCTGTGTGCCACTTGCTCATACATAAGGATGAGGATGAGTTTACTTTAATAATTTTCCTACATTTTCCATGCAGAAATTTCTTGAATCATCACACCTTTCCCCTTGTATTCCTAACTTGCCTTGCCCAGGGGTTGCTATTGAATTTCTTTTTAAATAAAGAAAAAAGAGAAAATAGTCTAACAATCCCTTGCATATTAAAGTAGAAAAGAGTTCTTGCCTTAGCCTTGAGAACGTTCTTTTAAAATTACAGTATTACCAAGTTTGCAGACTTGGGAGACAGTGGTACTTTTGAAAGTATCTATAAATGGAGGCACCACATTTTTAACACTAGTTAAAAACATTTTTAATGTTCCCTTTTCACAGTTTGTATGAAACTGCAGGTCTAAACAGAAGGTGGCAAGGGGAGAAACTAAAGATGCGTAACTGCATTTGAAAATTAGCATGAGGTACAATTTTAAGGGGCAATACTGTATTGACTTTGTCAGGATCTGCAGTACTGTGGATCAGTGTGACTATATGAAGCCTTTGGAGCAAAAGCATTGCCATAAGGTTGCAACACCTGAAGCACTATATCCTGTTAGAAAACTCTTTCATTATTTTGTCACAGAGCATTAATAGAAATATCATGGAATTTTGTAAATAACAAGATATGATTGTTCTTTTTGTGGCATGTTAAGTATTCAGCAACAGACTCCAAGGGAAAGGGGAAATTGTGCAACCAGACGCTGAATCAAACATTTGATCAAACACTTATTTGGGTGAAGTATGTAACATTTCAGTCTCTAGGAGTTTTGACACAGTAAAATTACTGACTGGTTCTTTCTTCTGATTGGTATGAGCCCTATGGGAAACAAACTGTATTTCTGATGCCTTAATAAAGGCTCGAGAGAATAACAGCCAACACACACACATTTGTATGGTTAAAGATGAAAGGCCTGAGCCCATCCCCCTGTATTCGGTTACTCGAGACACTTCTGGATTCTTCAGCATTGGTTTGGTATTAAACACAGGACTTCTCTAATTACATAATAACAGGAGATGAAATGACACCATGGTTCAAAAGGATGTCAGGGAGAGCTGTTGAAGTGATTGCAAGAACAATGTTGAGAAACAATTTAAAACTAACAGGTGTAGTTTTGGGGAAAAAAAAAAAGTATTTAATCTACAGTAATTCAATTGTAACTAATACTTGGTACCTACTCCAGTGTTGAAAACAGAGCAAAGTGCTGTAGGATTTAAGATTGATTTGTGACAAATCCAGCTTACGATGGTGAAAACTCAACTCAGGCATCATTCACTCCAAGGACTTTAGCATGAGTTCACTAGGAGGGACGTGGCCATATTCTCTTTGTGTGTGAATTTAGGTAACGTTCATGTATTTACAATCAGAAACAGACCTTCCACTGCTCATGATGTAACTCACTGACAGCAAAAAAATTATTCATGCTTCTTTTCATATCACACGACGGTGGCAAGAATGAGAGAACATGCTTGTCTAACATTGTTTTGATATAGATAAATTCTCTGAAGACAAAGCATCAGCAATTTAAAATGGAAGGCCGAACATCATCAGTTCATTCTCCTTAGCGTAGCTACTGTTTCTTCAGTTAAATGTTACAAGAATCTTCTCTCTTCCCCAGCTATGGCATCTCAGAGACAGGGCGTTTCTGTTTCAAAGTGTCAATGAGGGACAGCACTCCTCTTTTTACATTAGTTGTAACTCTTCTAGTCACCGAATCTGCAGGAGGTGGGGGTGGGCGAACTTTCTGTGAAGGAGGTCTGGCTACTAAGCACTTCTGATACCGTAGCTGCAACAAAGCAAAAGCATTCGGCAATCCTTACTGTATCCAGTATCTTCAAAGCATTTTAAATACATTTTAATACTTTTCATGAAATATAGTCAAATCTCTGTTTTTTGACAGACATTGCTTTGTTAAGCTGTAGGCAGAAACTCTTCATTGGCACATGACACAAACTAAATCACAGGAACAGCCCTTTGAAAACAGAAAAATAAGTTTTTTGGATTCAGCTATTCTTGAACAGTGACTGCATTGTCACTGGGTTGTATAACATGACTTTGAGCAAAATGTTTTCCCAGCGTTGGATAACTTGTATAACAAAAGATTCCTGACATATACAGATGCTGTAGTGGTAAGGAGGTAAGATTGTTAAAGGAACATTGTTCACTATATTGACATTTCAGACTTCTTTTAAAAGTTTATTTTTAATCTATTATCAGAATCTCATTTATTAGTTGTATCTTTTCTTACTTTCTTCATCTGTCTCAGGAAATTAATGTAATTGCAAATTTGGAAAAGATTTTTATTTACTGAGGTAGGGACAGAACTAAGGACTACAGGTGTCCTTGAAGAAGATCACTTACCATACAAGCAGCCTGAACAGCTTCTGATACATTGCCTGCATTTGGTTCACACCAAAAAACATGGCACTCAAAATGCTGGTTTCCTGTATCCATAATGAAGGCAAATGTGTGGACATCCTTGCCTACTCCCATAAAGGACAGGAACCGGACACGACACTCCACCATGATCTCCTCTTCATTCTGGTTATGGAATCAAATAATTGTTCATTACTATTAGATATTCCCTAGAACTTGACTTTCAAGTTGATTAGTAGCGTGGAATTCCTTTATTCATCTGCATATACTCAGTGTGTTAAGGTCTGACTGGATCTCTCCTTCTAGGGTATTACCAGAAGACCAAGGCCTTGAGCATACTGTGCCTTTTAGATACTGCTTGTTTAAAACTGATGCTGCAGTTCTATAAAGAAATACATGGTTATCATGACTGCAAAAAATACTCCCCTGTAACTGGTACGTGGAGATGTTGCTTTAAGACTTCCTCAACAAACATAGATAAAAGACATATTCTTTGAAAGTTTCACTGTATTAATCTCTATGGAAAATGCTCTATAAAAGTACAGTGAATGTACTGTACTTTTACAGTGATGTGAAACACAAATGGAAAGATTATTCTTGGCTTCTTTAGCCAGAATAAGGTAAATACAGTTTAGAACACAGGACTGCTACTACCTAGGGTTTAACCTACAACGTTTTAGAAAAGAACAGAAAAGATAACACTGAATTTATATAAAATACATAATAAACACTTAAAATTATTTCTGAGGACATGCTTGGAACGGTGAATAAAGCTGAAGCTGACAGAAGCTGTAAGAGCCTCTAAAAAACAGTGATGTGTGGAGAATCACAGTCCTGGAAAGAAATACAATGCAAAATAAGCAAGTGAATTGTAGTGCAAATTAACTCTTTCTACTACTGTTTATGTTTTCCTCGTATTCAACATTCATGCTATGTTAAACTTGTTTTAAACAAGACAGTCTGCCTTACTTTTTCATTGATGACTGTGACAGTAGCATCAGCAACATTCATGGTAACTGGCATCCAGTCTTCTTTGCTAGAGGAAGCCATTAGACTTTCAATAGCACTGTTCAGAGTATCCATTCCTAAAACAGAGGACAGTGTGGTAATCAAAAATAAATACGTGAATATAAGTAGACACCAACAGAACTTTTATTTTCGCATAATTTTTTTTTTTTTTTTTTTTTTTTTTTACAGAAAAGACATTGTTTCATACTGCCTGTTAAAACTAATTTGATGATAGAAGGAAGAGCTGTGAAATTAGTTTTCATCTGTAAAAACAAAACAGGTGCCTCTAGCTTACAAAAAATGGGATAGCATCTTGTTTAGCTGTTCCACCTTCTCCATTAGCAGCAGAGCTCATATTCAGGAACTCTGCCATCTTAGCAGCGCCCAAAAAGTTCTGGTTGAAAAACACATGTTGAAGTGAGGCCCCTGAATGAATGTCTTCATGCCTGACCCACGTGACTCAGAAATACAAGAAAGAGTTGCCACCCTTTGGGCGCCATCCATTTACACTTGGCTAGCTGGACACTTCATGCAAGTTACATCAGCAGTTGCTTAAGAATAAGAGCGTTACCTACCGACAGGCTTAGCCACGGGCAGCATGCCGAGGTACTGCACGTGGAACTTCTGCACTAGTTCTGTCTTTGGTGTTGGGAAATCTACTGCATGGGAAACAAATCAATTTCTGTTTATCATTATTCACAGCAGGGAAAATATAATTTGGTTTCATCAATAGCATAAAATAATTTACCAAGTAATCGTACTCTGAACGTACTCTTATCGATTAAAACAAGTGTACACTCCCTTGTTTCATACAAGAATAACGCCAAATGATTTCCAAGGGGATTAGAGAGAATGCTACATCATCTAGTTCTTCATCTAAACTAAAAATGAGGTCATATTATACCGCTAACATATTAAAAAACAGAGAAAATACACACAAATGTGTCTATAAGACACCGAGACCTAAGCTCATTGCATAACGGTGTAAAATATGCAATCTGATTTTAATGCCATCCTGATTAATATGTTATACATTGGTTACGAGAAATCAGTACTGTTGTCTGAGCAGAAAATTGCGCAGGTGACGCAGGGATAAGGGGTGAGATACTCAGCACAAACATTTTCCTGTAAAGTAACACAAGGTATGTTTGTTCTTTTAGAATATTTTAAAAATAGCAACTATGGAGCTATGACTAATAAAGGCATGCAAAGGCAACTTCCTTTTAACCATGCGCTAGTGTGCAAGACACAGGAATTGTCTAATGACGTACTTGCTCCTCTTGCTTTGGAAGTTGCTAAAATGCTGAAACCTGTAAGGAATCTGAGTCTCCTGTAGCTCCTCTGAATTCAACTAATTAACTGGAGTATGTTCTGCTTTTAAGGCAGATTTGGCCAATATGTGCGGTCTCAAGTCACAAGGTATTTTGATGTTATCAGGACTATATATGCAAGCTGGCACAACTAAGTAAGACTGCGTTTCCAAAATATGTACTTTGAACTAAAAGAGGAAACACACAAGTTGGCATAACTGAGCAGAACTGCATTACTGTGAAGTCAACCAATCAAAATGTTTAACTCAGTGCAATAACAGATACTGTCAGATACAGTAATTAAAAGATGGGATTACACTCCTGCCTCTTCTACTCAATATTCTCTATTTTGATTTAAAAAAAAAAAAAAAAAAGAATCAGAAAGGGAGTATATCTAAAATCAGACCATCCTACAGATATTAATTTTGACACGCAATACCTTGCAGGGGAACATCAAGGGTGACATTTGTCCTCTCTTGTAATGAGCTGCAAGCCATAGCTTTAGCGTTTTTCCGTTCAGCCATAATCTGAGGAAGACGGTGATAATACAGCATTTTTTCCAAAATATAGTACAGTAGCAACTACAAGTATAAATTTATTCCTATTACAAACCTGATTTCTGAAATCTGAAATAAGTCCAAAAGTGCATAACTAAAAAAGTTATTCTTTGCAGTAACAACTTTAATTTTCCTCCAGTTTATTCAGCATTCCTTATCTACATAAGGAACTTGAGAGGTCTCCAAGACTAGATAAAAGATTGATGAAGGAGTAAAAAACCTTTAGCTGTTTTTCTCAACAGCAAAATTGCAGTGAGGATTAATATAGAGAGAAATATAAATATTTAACATACAGAGAAGAACGTTCATTATTCATGTTCCTCTCTGATCCATCTACTGCCACATAACTTTTCCACATTTTGTGTTTCTTCTGAAATTAAAAATTTCATGCAAAGTGTGACCTGTTCTTCCCTAAAGCGTATAACATTAGCAAAAGAGGAAAAGACGATACTTCAAAATAACCACTTTAGTTGGTTGTTCCCTACAAATTTATCACTGGGAAGGGACCCAGGGAAGCTTTTCTCCAACACACAGTAAGAGAGGTCTTCCAAAGCTCGTGTATGAAACATTGCCATCTGCTTCCTTATGCTAACTACTGGTAATTGTAATTAAACTCTACAGAGAGGACTAGTGTTCAGCAGAGCGCCCAGCCTCAGAACATGTGGTCTAAAGATGCTCCTGGCACATTTCTCCTCTGTTTTTTTAGGTCTTCTATTTTGAAGTGTTTTCTGTTCTTGGGACACCCAAAATAGCATTCCCACCTGAGAAATAAAAAATGCCACACGCTGGCTTGGGAAGAAGCCCTGACTCAGCAAAGAGGTCTGGCGTGGCAGTTAGCATGTGCCAAGCGCTTTGCCGAATCAGGATTACATCTACTGCCGAATCACAAAGGAACATTCTCTGCATACGACACTCTACTTAATTCTTTGTCGTCGTTCGCTATTTTTTAAAACGCTCCATCACTCTCTGGTCCAAAGTTAATGCCAGAGGTTTCACATCACAGTTGCCCATATGACAGCTGCCAGCCTGACAGCGCAAGTGAAATACCCCCTGCACTTACCTACAGTGGCATTTACTTGCTCTTATGCTTAATGGATAAAAGAAGCTGTGGCAGGGCCTGTTTAGCACCTTTCTGCCAGCTATGCTTGCTGGGTAACAGTTGGGAGAATTGAGAGCTGGAAGAGAAAGACGATGGACTAGATACCGGCTCCAGGCTTCTCCAGCCAGTCCTGCAGCCAGCCACAACTTGGCCAAGTACAACGTGGCCAGCTGCCCGCCCGACCCAAGCAGCTCCCTGGACTCTGCCACCTGCGTTTCCCCAGGCACTCAAGCCCTGACAGGCCTTCCAAGCTCTGTGCAGTTCCTGGACTACCTTCTGCCACTGCCTGGGGCAAAACTGTGCTGGCCAGAGGTTTATAATAATACACACTGCGCAAACTCTCACAGTGTTTGCATGAAACCTCACACAGGACCTTATTCAGTAGCCAGGTCTGCAGCACTGCAAATCCAGAAACTTTATATACTATACAACTAGCTGCTGAGGTGAATTTGACATCGCTGACTTTTACTCATTAAAACGAAGACAAAATGCAAAAAGCAAATGAGCACAGGCATATAGTAAAACAGCAGCTGAATTTTAAAAAGTGAAGGTTTAATAATCAGAATTGCTAAGCAGAGCTCTGACTCCTGAGCAGGGACAATTTACAGAGGGACAACTGATCAGGTTATGCTGTCTCCATCGTTCACTTTGCCTGGGGTGCACACTGCCATATGTTTTAAGGCAAACCAAAATGAGCAGCAATAGTTTTAAAGGGAGGAATGCAGCCTCAAATCCACCACATCTCAACAAAGAAAAAGTAATTTCAAGTAGGTTCGCTTAAGTGGCTGTCTATAAAGCACTTCAATCAGATTTTCTTACTGTGAAGTATGTGCTGCCTTATTGCTGCAGGAAATAACCAAACAGAGGACACTCATGCACTGACCATGCAAGAAAACTGCAAAACTAATAACCAGGGAATGGCTGGCAAATACGTAAGGTAAAAAGAAATAAATGAAAAGAAATAAAGAGAAGAAGAAGAAGAAAAAGAACGTTTCTCTCCAACATTACAGAAAATACTATGACAAGCAGGAACTGAGATTCTTCTGTTATTTGTAACTAGAGTAGCTTTAAATAAAATACCCTTCTCTGAAATTTTTAAATGGGCAGCATAATGTTTTCAACTGTTTTCATGCAACTTGTTCATGTAACTATTCAAAACTGATTCATGTAACTATTTTCATGTTGAAGAATACCGTTCAAACAAGATCTGATGCACTTACGGAGTTTACCATTTATCGAAACTCGGTGTTCTTTTCCCATTTTGAACCCACAACTTCTTTACTACTAGGAAAGCATTCAGGCCTGTATACCCACTTGTCAAATCAATACTACGTATTACCATATATATTACCATCTTCAAATTAAAACGCTCATCTTCCCATTAGTTTTGATGCCATTCGTGTCCCTTCCTTTACAAATTCTCTGAACTATGCGTTGTTGTCAGGGATATAAACTAAAGTAACACTGCATGAGACTGCTCATTGTATGCTTTATGCTCAGAGACCTCTCAAAAGATGAACAAACTCATTTGAATCTACTTGCCTTTGAGCAGATTTCGTGTAAACTTGTGGCGATGGCTTTTGCTGGTGTGTCACATCGAAACACATGACATTTCAGAATTCTTGTATCTTTGTCTCTTGCCACATAAGCAAAGTCCCTGTGCAAACAAAATGAATTAACACATTAGAAACAGCAGTGTTTACAAATCAGCAAGTCCTACTTTAATTTAACAAGCGTATGTCTCAGCTGTCAGAGAATAAAAACATATGCCTTAGCCAAAGCAGATCTACCAATTTAATAAACTGCATACCCATGAAACACATAGCTAGTCTTTGATGCTTAGTCTATTATAATTAAAGAGCTCATTACTGTTTCCTAACACTGGCAACTTATTGAATTTATAACCCGTAATTCCAACTGCAATTGTAAGTATATGGGAAAATTTACTCAAATATTTCAGTGAAGACAAAGAAGTGAGGACAGAATCACAGATGAAGCCAGAGAAGAATACATGCAGTTCTTAAATGGCTAGAAAGCCTGGCAGACAGCATACAACAGTCTAGCTAGAAAAAACTGTCTTTCAGAGTACTGTATAAAGTGTTTTAAATGTGCAGATAGTAATTAAAGATATAGTTGTACGAGGGAGTTGTGAACCTGCTGAGCTAATGCTCATGCTAATTGGCCTAAATTTCTGACCTTATTTTTTCAAGAGTTAAATACAGATGCCCTACAAAAGAGATTTTTGCTTCTTATTGGCCAGTCACCACAATATAGTATAGCTTCTTAACATGAGTGATGGAAATGCAGGAGGATTAGGTTTACCTGTTCTCAGGCTTTTTAAGAGTTAAAGCTCTTCTGAAAAAGACAAAGTTTGGCATGCCCAGTTTATCCTGGACACAATTTCTGGATAGTTTTCAGAACTGCTCCTGCTCTGAAGGATCTATCTCTAGGGCCCCATAGTGCTAATTTGCCTTCATGACCCTCCTGGGACAAAGATATCCATGACTCAGTTCATAGGTAGGAACCTGAAGCTGGTTCTGCCGCATGGAAAGGCACGCACAGACAGCAGAGACAGACCACGCAAAGCCAGGCTTCTCCCTGACTCAGTTATCTTGCTCCTACGCAAGCCGCTGCACTCCTTGGTGTTGCATCTCTAGCTTTTCACGTCCTTTGAGCAGCCGCAGCCCAGTCCTACTTTGCGACCTTCCTGCTATCTCCAGATTTCCGTGGGGCTGTGCATCCCCCGCAGAGCTGTGCTGAGTAACTAACTAACTAGGATTGGACCAGAGGGGGGAATCTGGAGCCCCAACAACCTATTACCCTGAATCTGTTCACTGCCTTTTGCCTTTACATCTAATTAATTATCATCAAGTCCCTAGCTGGTGAAGACACAGAAGGGATAGTCCACGTGGATGAAAAAACATATTTTCCCTTCCCTCTTAAACCACAGGTTTCATATACAGAAATACTTCAGTCTGTACTTAAAGTCCATAAATATCCTTAGCAGGGTTTAATATACTCTGGATTGCCAATTTCTTTGTTCACTGTAGATGCTCAGTCAGTTGAGGAATCGGTACTGAAATTACCAGGGAATTCTAGAGACTGTGATAGACGGACAGGTGGACCTCCAGTCCCTCAGGAGACACCAACACTGGCCTACAGCTAAGTACCTTATCTGGATTGTCAGCTGAAGCAATTCTTGAGGAAGGACGTGGCAACACCGTATTTGATGTGCTAGCACTAGATTTTGTCATTAAGGAGCCCCAGCAATGAAAGGGGCAGCTGTCCACAGTCTAGGCTGCTTACGGACAGACACATCTTGTTCCTCTGTTTAACCTCTTTGCAACCTGAAGACTGAGGAATAATCTCGGGGGGTGAGGGAAGGGAGAGGGAACGAACCACTGAGAGGAGCTGAGACTCGGAAACAATTTTACATGATGACCAGAACTGTGCAGTGCCCTACCTGCGAAAGACTGAATCTGGAGGGTCCTCTCCATTTCACGGCCTCCTAATAAGAGGCAACACGCATTAGGGCACGACAGAGAAACGGGGCAGCCGAGGCAGCTCCCGGACTGCCTGCAGGGGAAACCAGAAAGCAATAATCCTGGAAGGTGCTGTCTATGAAAGCACGTGCACTGAGGTTTCCCAGCTCCGACCTGACCCCAGGCACCTTGATCACAATCCCCAAGAGCCCTTCAGCACCCTCTCCATTTTGCTAGGCTGCAGGTTCACTAAAGTACCAAAATATGAAACTCGGTGCCTGAACCTCACCTCGGGAAAAAGCTGATGCTTCCTTGCTTATCTGCACATGTGCCAAACCTCATTTTAGAAGGGCTTCCTCTTAGCTTAGTGTTTCAAAAGTAAAATGAAGACTTCTGGCTGGATTCTGTTAATAAGACTACAAGGCGTACTAAGGGAAGGGATTATGGTTCAGCTATGGCCTAGGAAAAATTAGCAACCATGGGAAAAAAGTGAAAGTAAGTGCACATTAAAAACCTTTGAGATCTTCTGCCTTTTGAGGTCAGCTGATTAACATTAGTGATGCTCCTGAAAGAGCTGTAGACAAGGTCTCTGGAAACAGTCAGGCTCACAAAAGTCTGAGTGTTTTGAACTCTGAAGAGGACGGGTTGGTTTGAGAGTAACAACTGGATTTCTAGACTTCCTAAGGGTCCACGGTTTTTTTTTTTCTTCTGTGCCTGTGGTTTTAACTACCATCTTTTAAATGCCTTAAGTTTCAGACTTCACATTTTTGAGTCCAAATATCATCCCTTCCCAGTATTGTATTTATTATAACTACAATACAAAAACAATGTTCACTTAACAGATATGGACTTAATACCATAACTCAAAAGGTGCTTTTGATTAAGATTTTTCTTCCTTTTAACATGTAAGAAAAAATTGCTGGCAGTGACCATCACTGCAGGGTAGCAAAGAGACTGCTGCACATACCTAATTATTCGATTACAGTTTATTCTTTTAGAGTGCAGATGTAACAGCTGAAATCTGTGTTCACATTGACTTAAAAAAAACCTTGAAAGCCATCTACTTTACCATTACATGACTATTTATTACCATTTATGAGCATTTATCCCAAATCGATATTATCCCTTTGAGGACTTGTAAAGGGAACTCATAAACCACTTGTTTACAAGATGATCTCAGGAAAAGCATCTTGTGTTGTTATCGCTGAGTTGCTTATGCTGCGCAGAAGCCTATTCGACAGAAATCTGCACAGCCACAGGAGCACTGTACAATATCAAGACTAGATTAGGCCATCACCTTCAAGAATTGCATAAACACAGATGAGAACTTATAGTGCTTTCTGTAATCCATAAGAGCTATAACTTAGAACGCTCTTTTATCATCAGGAAAAAACAAATTGGGACAAAGCCACGAAAGCTGGCTTTGTCATCTCTGGCTTGGAAAACATAGTATCTTGCCAGCAAAATCCAAATTTGTAACAGCACAAGAAATTCTGGTCCTCCCTTGATCAGTAGCTCTGGCAATGCCCTCGCGCACCGTGACCGTCACAGCAAGCTACTGCACTTTGCTGTAGCAGAACTGCGTCCGACACGGCACCTCCGCTGCGCTGCCAAGGCCTCTGACACAGAATAGCCCCTGCAGCCATCACTAAATCCCATGCTCAGCTGCAAGGGTTTCAAGCCTTAAGGGAAGCTGTAAAATAATACTAAATGCACTTTAGTAAGCATACTACTTCCTACTGAAACACTCAAAAGACTGCAGAGGTAAGAATGAACTAAGCAATTAAAACTGTATTAAACTAAAGGCTGAATTCTGTAACGATCAAAGACAAGATTTTGGTCATAAAGGAAGACAATCCATAATTATGCCCCAGTCAGTGGGAAACACCTTAGGTAGTTAAGTAGAGAGTATTGTCAACAGCATTTTGAAGACAGAGCGATGGACTGGGGGCAGCCTGCTGAGCCCAGTTTCACCTAAGAGTAAATTTACTCTTCTGATCAAAGGAGTACACCGTGGAAGACAGCCCACCGACATCTAATGAGCATGTGTGCTTTTCAGGAAGAGACACACTTCTCTGCTCCTGGAAGTCTAACCACAGCCAAATGAACAAGTCACCCTGCAGAACCCAGGCCGAGTGACTCCCCCAATTCAGACTTGCGGTGAGGGCTGGGAGAAGAAATCTTATGAGCTTTATGGACATAATATGCCCTGTGTAATAATCCAGGCGGCAAGGAGATTTACCTGCCACTTTAGTCCTGCCTACAACCCTGTTGTCCCTACAAGAGGAGGATGACAACAGTCCTCATGAGATGGCCCTGCTCTGCACTTGCCAAAGGGCCAATACTGCCCATAAGAATGCTACTTTTAGTCAAGACCTAATGCTTTCGATTGTGTTAGAGTTAGCAGTGACCACTACATATGGGCTACCAAGCATTCTCCATCATGGACCAAATGGCCAAAGGACACTTTTTCTTGAAGAAATATTAACTCCTCTATTGTTTGCAGCAGGTCTTTGAGGTTTGGCCTGGAAAGTCCCTTAGGCTGTGAGAAGTGTCTTTTCTTTGTCCTGTGAAATTCCATTCAGATTTAGTCAACTTGAAGGAGGGCTAAAGATGCCACTTCCTATGTCTTGGAAGTGTTGGTTGGCTGCCAAAAGTGAGCTGCGAGGAGGCACCTGGCCCAAGCCTCTGTTTAGGAAATAGTGCCTGAATATTTACGTGGTGCATATAAACTTCCCTGTAGCATTTCCTGACTCCAGTGTTTAGTCCTGCAGCTGTTGTAACCATTTCTGTATGTAACAGTACGCATTCATAAACCAGGCAGTATGAAATTATAGCACCATTAGAGGAGCAAACGAGACACAAGCTAGTACATCAGTTCTGACTACTGAGAGCTAATGAAACCCTTACAACGGTGTTTCAGACTCAGACACCGGTGTTTAACTTTAAGCACCTAAACAGCTTGCACAAAGTTAATGGGGCTAATTACATATGCAAATTGAGAATATGCATAAGCCTTTAGATGATCGGGGCCTGCATTCGTATATCTGTTGAGACAGAGGAGGAAATCTGAGCGCTTCAAAACCTATGGTACCGCATTATGCACAACCCGGCCAGCACCATCTGTTCCCAAATCATCAATCAAAATTAGCAACCAAACCTCCTCTTCCCTTCT